CATGACGTAGTTGTATAACTTGGATGTAGCGACTGAAAGGTGGAGTTATATTAAATATAACATTTAATATATATGTATAAGTACCAATATGCATATACTAGCTCTATACCCGTGCTTCGCTATGAAACTATGTGATCCGGCTTATTTTTGGGGGAAGAAAAAAAGGGGGGTGGGGAATTCTGCCTACCAGCATCCATCGATATTCATCTGGCTAGCGTCCTGTCAGTGTGCGAGAGTTGAGGGCTGTTTGGAAACTGAAACAGTATTTGAGCAAGAAGGACACAGCAAGGAGCCTGGGCGTGGCTTAGCTCAACTGTTCTGGACTAAAGCCGGTTGCTGTTGACTATTATGCATTAATCGGTTTTAATAAGACTTTTTTTTTCCTTCGCTTGAGCAATTTTCTGCAAGCGCAGGCTCCTCCTTTTAAAACCGGGGTCCCCAACCTTTCTGGCACCTTTCAGGGACCAATTTCAGTAGAAAAAAAATGTCTTCCATGGACTGGAGGAGATGGTTTCACATGCAACCTAGATCCTGAGCATGCGCAGATGAAGCTTCACTTTTGTGGCCACTTGTGCGGCCCGGTTCCTTAAAGGCCACGGCCCGATATCGGTCCATGGCTCAGAGGTTGGGGACCCCCGTTTTAAAAAGATTAATACAGAAATAAATAGGGTTAGGGTTACGGTTTATTGATGCCCCAGTGCTACTCATTATTAGTAGGTGTGAAAATGAAAAAGCAATTAGACCTGGACCTCTTGAGAGCAGGTGTGTAGCTCTTTTATTCCCTCACCCAGGGACAAAAACGTTGTTATTCTTAACACCGTTTGTTCCCCATGGTTGCAACCTCAATTGTTTTTGCACATCGCCTGGTTCGTTCTTACAGTGAAGGTGTCAAGACATAAGGCAACAAGGAGGGGTAGCCATTGGGCAGTGGGTATCCTGTACAGATTACGAGCATGATTGAGCCGAACATTTCCGTTTGCTAAGTGAGACAGGTGTGTTAAGTGTGCTTTGCCCCCATTCGACGACTTTCTTGGCCACCGTGGCTGAGTGAATCCCTGCCGCTGATAAGTTAATAACCCGGTTATTAAGTGAACCTGGCTTCTTCGTTGACTTTGCTGGTCAGAAGGTTGCAAAAGGGGGTCACTGCAACTGTCCTAAATATGAGTCAGTTGCCAAGCCTCTGAATTTTGATCAGGTGACCGCGGGGATGCTACAACGGTCGTAAGCGTGGGGAAAAAAACCGGTCACAAGTCACTTTTTCTCAGTGCCGTTGTAACTTTGAACGCTCCCCCCACAAACTGTTGTTAAGTCAAGGACTACCTGTAGTCTTCTCTGAATAAACAGTACTCCGATGCAAGTTAAAAAAAACCATGAATATGACGTTTGCAATTGTAAACATTCCAAAATGGAGCCTCACCCAGTTTAGGCCCTTCAGTAGGCACAGATGGCACCGGATTATGCCCCGCTCACCGGATGTTGCGAGGGATTGAAGGGCAGGCAAGGAACAGTTGATTTGATGAGCTGTCCCTCGCCTTCCTGACTATTGAATTGAGCAATCTGTTGTGGTTATAATCTTCTTCGTTGTTATTTTTCTTTCCACCCGCCTTCCTTTGTGAATCTTTCACAAAGGTTCTGCAAATGTTCTTTGGAATTTCAGGGGAGGTCGTCAATTCTAGGGTTTCCCCGAAGTAAGAAGGGGTGGAGAGTGATGGACGGATCTGGGTTTCCTTGGAGAATCTCTAGACAGGGCGCGTCCAACCGTGGCAACTTTAAAGACTTGTGGACTTCAACTTCCATTATTCCCCAGCCAGGGGAATTCTGGGAGTTGAAGTCCACAGGATTTAAAGTTGCCAAGGCTGGACATCCCTGCTGTAGAAGGTTTAGCCACTTTGCTTGGAAGAGGTCCTAAAGGCTTGGAGACTGAACCATATGAAGAACAGCTGCAGGATTTGGGGTTTGGCTAGTCTAAAGAAAAAAAGAATTAGGGGTAGTCTTCCAGTATTTGAGGGGCTGCGCAGGGGTGGGATTCTACCACTTCGCACCTATTCGCTAGAACTGGTTGTTAACGTTCTAAGCAGTTCAGAGAACCGGTTGTTAGAAGAAATTACTGGGCTAATCCTGTAAGGAAGGCAGGAAGGAAACATTCTGGTGTTGCTTACAGAAGCTGCCTCTCCGTTAACCCTTATTGCATTCTTGGCAGGACTAGACTTCCTGTCTCTGGAACGTCTCTGAAGGTTTTTTCCCCTCCTTTGCTGGTACTTTGCTTGTGTAGAGTGACCATTCAAAGTTACAATGGCACTAAAAAAAGTGACTTATGACCATTTTTCACACTTACGACTGTTGCAGCATCCCCACAGTCACGAGAGGCCAGGCGAGGAGATGCGTGCCTCGATGTGAGTGATGTTGATTTGGCCACGTCCCCCAAGTCACATGACCACCAAGCCCCACCCCACCAATTAAGCCACGCCCACAGAACCGGTTGTTAAAAAATGTGACTCCCACCCCTGGGCGGGACGTGATAGCAGTCTTCCAGTCTTTGAGGGGCTGCCATAAGGAAGAGGGGGTGAATTTATCCTCCAAAGCATCCGAAGGCAAGACAAGAAGCAATGCCTGAAAACTAATCCAAGAGAGAAGCAACCTGGAGTTAAGGTTGTCCCCCCTTCCTCACAGGGAGGACAACTAAGCAGCGGAAGAGAAGCCGTAGGAGCTTCATCACTGGAGGTTTTTAAGAAGAGACCAGACCCCTGATGGTGAACCCATGGCATGCGTGCCGGAAGTGACACGCAGAGCCATTTCTACCGGCAGGCGAGTGGTCGCCTGGAAGAGTCCCACTGCACACGGTGCACCGCCCCCCCGCCAGTCAGCTGATTGTTGGGTATCTGCCGCTCATGCATGGGGGGTGGCGGGGAGACATGCGCATGGGAGATGGGGGAGAAGCTTTTGGGGGCTGACATTTCTCTGTGGACCACCCAAATTTTCTCACGGACCACCAGTGGTCCCCGGCCCACTGGTGGTTTGGCAACCACCGGACTGGATCTCCGAGGTCCCTTCCAGCTCTATTCGATTCTAAATATTTTCTGACTTTACCGCACCCAAATATTGTAGCCGATTGCAGAAGAAGAATTCCCGTAAAACGTTCGCTGTCAAAAATGGATGAGGAAACAGGTGATCGTCCGTGAGAAACTTCGAAGATTTCCCTCAGATTGTCGTTGATTTGGGGCTTTTTTAAAAAAAATCTTTTTTTTTTGCAAGTCTGGACTTGCCTGCCTGGCATGCTGAAATCTTTCATGTCAAGCAGTCATGAGTCACCGGGATTTGATCCTTCCCAGCTGGCTTGCAGTTCCTCTTCCTCTCCCCTCTCTCTCTTTCTAGGCAGCAAGTATTTTTGTTTTGTTTTGTTTCAGGAGTGGCAGTTCTCAAACTAAAGGCCTCCTCTCACTCCCAAACCTATTTCCATGACTGCTGTGCTGGAGCGTAGGGAGTCCTCTGCTTAGTGACCGCTCGGAGTTACAACTGAAAAAAAGTGACTTATGACTTACGACTGTTGCAGCATCCCCACGCGATTTACATTTGGATGCTTGGCAGCTGTCTCATACCTATAACAGTGGCTGTGTCCCCGGAGTCATGTCATCCATCCCCTTGTGCAACCTCCCGACAAGCAAAACCCAATGGGGAAGCCAGGTTCACTTAATGACCGTGTTACTAAGTTAACAACTGCAGTGATTCGGTGAACCATTGTGACAAGAAGAGCTGTAAAACGGGGCAAAACTTAACTAATTTCTCTCTTAACAACATACATGTGGGGCTCAATTGTGGTCTTAAGACGAGGACTACCTGTACATATAATTACATATAAGGACCCAGATTGTTGGGGGCAAGAGGCTGACTCTGTAAACTGCTTAGAGAGGACTAGAAAGCAGCATGAAGTGGTATATAAAGTCTGCTATTGCTTGGGAAGGAAGGAAGGAAGGAAGGAAGGAAGGAAGGAAGGAAGGAAGGCAGGAAGGAAGGCAGGCAGGCAGGCATAGTGGCAGAATGGTTAGAATGCAGAGTTTCAGGCTAACTCTGCCCACTGCCAAGAGTTCAATCAAGGTTGACTCAACCTTCCATCCTTCCGAGGTGGGTAAAATGAGGACCCAGATTGTTGGGGGCAAAGAGGCTGACTGTAAACTGCTTAGAGAGGGCTGGAAAGCACTATAAAGCGGTATATAAGTCTAAGGGCTATTGAGTGAATGAACAAATAAATTCTTTATTGGCCAAGTGTGATTAGACACACAAGGAATTTGTCTTGGTGCATGTACTCTCGGTGTACATGAAAAGATTCATTCTTCAAGAATCATAATGTACAACACTTAATGATAGTCACAGGGTACAAATAAGCAATCAAATCATACGAGGAAACAGTCAATATAAATCATAAGGATACTATTGCAATTGCTGCAAAGGAATGATGGGGAGTGGGTGAATGACAAATGCAAAGAAAATGAGGTAGAATTCCCCTTCCCCACCAAAACGTTGAGCACCCATGTTCTAAACCAGAGGTGTTCAAACGACAGTTTTAAGTCTTGGGGACTTCAACTCCCAGAATTCCTCCTCCAGTCACGTTAGCTCAGGAATTCTGGGAGGAGAAAACCACAAGACTTAAACTTGCCAACTTTGAAGACCCTTGTTCTAAACAGATAAAATTACATTTCCACAATATTATGGAACCTCTACATTGATCTAGGTTGTCTATGAAAATGCTCTAATGCAGGGGTGTCCAACCTTGGCCCCTTTAAAACCTGTGGACTTCAACTCCCAGAATTCCCCAGCCAGCACGGACACCCCTGCTCCAATTCAACTCATCCTCTGCTCACAGCTGGACAATTTGTGATTGTAATGTTGTAACTGTGGATGGTCCTATCAAATAGAGCCGGTCCTTTTTGCAGCCAGCCTCTTTGGACGTGGCTACTAATAGATCTCCTCAACTGTCTGACTCCTTTTATTTTATGTTTCCGCAGCCATCCCAAAGGCACCGATTCCCTTAGGAGGAGAGTCAGCCTAAATGGTGCGATGCTTTCCTGTCCTTGGAAGGATATCATGTAAGTCGTATTTTGGGTTTTGGTGCATTCCACGAAGTCCGAGTAGTCCCATCGTATGGTAACGGCTGCGTCCAAGTTTGGGGCCGTGGTAAACTGAGAGGGATGGAATTCGGATGGGGAGCTGCAGAGGACGTCCGTATCTTGCTGTTGTCGGTACAAGCAGTCAGGAACACTTGGAAATTAAAGTGAGCACCTCTTAATGTCCGTTTTTAATGTTCCTCCCAATAAGATAAAGACAGCCAATCCCTCTAGGCAACACCATCAGAGTGCTCTGATGATGTTACCTAGTTGGGTCATGAAACGTCTCCAAGAAAATAACGAAGCTTAGAGAGCGCCAAGGATCTCACAGCTCCTCCTCCTCCTCCTCCTCCTCCTCCTCCTCCTCCTCCTCCTCCTCTGCAAACCCCCTGTAAATCCCTTCTAGCACTGATGATGTTCCCTAGCTGGGTCATGAAACATCTGCAAGAAAAACACCAAGCTCAGAGCGCACCAAGGACCCCATAGTCCTCTTCCTCCTCTCTTCCTCCTTCTCCTCCTCCCCCCCTCCTCTCTCTCTCTAAACCCCACTCTCTCCTAGCACTGATGATATTACCTAGTTGGGCAATGAAACATCTGCAAGGAAGCTCCACAGTGCACCAAGGACCCCTCATTGTCAAACCCCGAGCTGCAGATATTTTTTATTGAGAGACTAAATCCCCGGGGGAATGATATTCTCAGCTTCTCTTCTGGGAACCTGGCCAGTTGGTATTCCCTAGTGGATGGGGCCTGGCGCATGCCTCTCCTGCTGGATCTCACGTGATGGGTAGATAGAATCAGACAGAGACAGCCCGGCCCGAGGCCATGAATTCATGCTTTGTGAAGCTATAGGGCACAGTTAATACTTGCACAATGGCACCTTGCTCATTGTGTCTATTCTCTTTCCCCCAGCCACAAAGCATGTAAGTGAAACCCAGCCGGATTAGACTCTGTTTAATTCATTATCTTCCCACAACAGCCAGCTAGATGCCTCTGGGAAGCGCATGGGCAGGATACAAGCGCACCAGGGGCCTCCTTCTCCCCACCCCACCCCCTCGTTCCCTAGCAACTAGCATTGAGGGAGATGCTGCTCCTGATACTAAGAAAGTGCATCGCCACCGTGACGAGGAGCTATTGATAGCTACATCATCCACGTCAATCTGACATCCTTTTAAAAGCCACGACAGTCGGTGGCTTAGCTTGTCACTCAGCCTTGCCAGCCCAGCAGGGGGTCGTTTCCAGAATGTCAGCCAAGCATCGCTTCCTGGAAGCTCTTCTGATAACGCCCTCGACACCTGCAGAGAGAAATTGGAGGGTCTCTCCTGGCAGAGCTGAGTTTTAGCCGTCCCAAAGGTGCTTTTCTCCAAGAGGCAACTGGGCTTCCTGTTTGTTCGTTTTTTTTTTCTTCGAAGACGTCTCACTTCTCATCCCAGTAGCTTCTTCAGCTCTGAGATTTTGCTTCTCTTGAGAGCTGAAGAAGTTTCTGGGATGAGAAGCAAAATGTCTTCAAAGAAAAAAAAAAGTCCACTTGCCTCTTGATAAAAAGCACCTTTGGGACAACAACCATGACCCGGATGACTGAGAATCTCCATAGACGTTGTGTTTTAGCTGGCCTGGAGGAGGAAAAAGTGGGTTTGGGGAGGTTTTCTGGAACCTCTTGAGAAGAGACAGAGATGTCCATGGGGTAGGAGGCAGGCTCTTAAGGATGCTCTCTGGGTTTCTCAGAAGATGGGCTGTTGTCTGCCGTCCGTTGGAGCTTCCCAAGAGCCTTCAGGGTAGCTCAGTGGAGATCAGTGCTGGGAAGGTTGCAGTCCTCCAGACTGGTTGCTGAACTACAATGCCCGACAGCCGTACCCACACACAGCTGGACGTGCTGGAATTTATAATTCAGCAATATCTGAATCCCCCTATTTTCAGTTCTGTTGTAACTTCAAAGTGTCGATAATATCTGTAATCTGAACACATAGTTATAATATTTTAGATTGTAATATTCTCACAAATCCCACAACACTGTCTCATTTCTCATCTTCTGATTATGTTCTCCTGTTGGTTTCTTCTGATTTATCAATTGTTGTTTGTGACTTACGATTAATGATTGTAACTATGATTACGACCTAAGACTTACTACTTGCTTGTATGTACACTGTGAACTTATGCACCAGAGACAAATTCCTTGTGTGACCAATCACACTTGGCCAATAAAGAATTCTGTTTTGTTTTGTTTTGTTTTGCTCTGCTATACTCTATACTCTATACTCTACTCTACCCTACTCTAGATTTCATATTTTACATTTTTATCTCTTATGGCTTTTTTTTAACCGAAATGTGATGTGAATGTTTAGTTTACTTCTATTGTCATTGCACCTCGTACAACGAAATCAAACACATCATGACCATGAGCATGAAAATAAACACTACATCCTTCATCCTTCACACATTGAACCATAAAACCCAGACACAACACCAACACTGCACTATACAGCAGAATTCAAAAGAGCTCCTGCCCTGGGATAGAAGCTGTTTTTCAGCCTATTTGTCCTTGTTTTTATTATCCTGTACCGTCTGCCAGATGGTAATAGTTCAAAAAAAGTGTTCCCAGGATGAGATGGATCTTTGAGGATGTTTTGAACTTTCTTAAGGCAGCGGGAGCTATAAAGCTCTTCCAAAGAGGGGAGAGGGCAACCCATCATCCTCTGGGCAATGACATTAACCCTCTGGAGTGCTGTCCTATCTGCCCCTGTGCCATATGATAAATAATAATAATTTGAATGATCACTAAATGAATGGTTGCAAGTCAAGGATTGCCTCTATTTGATTAAAGGAAGGATTGATCCTCCCTTCCCCTCCCCTGTCTTTCTTTCAGGCCGGCTGATTATCCCTGAGAGCATGCAGTGGCCCAAGCAGCACCAGTGGGGCAGGCGTGTGACGGCGTGGGGGATGCTCTAACGGCTGGGCGCGCTACAATATGGGCCAGTGCGTCACCAAGTGCAAGAATCCTTCTTCCACTCTGGGTAGCAAAAATGGCGACCGGGAGGCCCACGGCAAAGCTCACGGGAAGCGGAACCCCAATCACAAGGAGGAGCTCAACCTGGTTGGCAGGAAACCCTCTGGAGATATTCTGGTCAACGGGACGAAGAAGGTGGAAGCGGCTATAGAAGCCAACCAGCCTCCCACTTCCTCTGGAGATGCCCGGAAAGAGGTGCCCGTCTCGGGCTCCGAGGAATCGTTCCTCCACAGAACTGAGGAGTTGTTCAGGAGGTACAAGGACGAACGAGAAGACGCCATCTTGGAGGAAGGCATGGAGCGTTTCTGCAACGACCTCTGTGTTGACCCCACGGAATTCAAAGTGCTCGTGCTGGCTTGGAAATTCCAAGCGGCTACGATGTGCAAATTCACCAGGTAAGTCCTGTGTTGCCGTCAGAAACCGCGGGGCTTGTCGGTCTCTGGAGCCCCCTCAGCAGGTTTCGAGAAAAACCGAGGTCACAAGGGGGAAAAACTTTGGAAAATGTAAGTGGCAAACAGGCTCCCTAGGGGAATGCAGAAAATCTTGGCTTCACCCATTTGCTTGGCACGAGAGAGAGAGGGAGAGAGAAAGAGAGAGAGAGAGAGAAACTTAAGACTTGTGGAGACTTCAGCTCCCAGAATTCCTCCTCCAGTCATGTTAGCTCTGGAATTCTGGGAGTTGAAGTCCACAAGTCTTAAACTTGCCAAGTTTGTGGACCCTTGATCTGGATGACTTAGAATCCCCATAGACGTTTACTTTACTTTGCTTTATTGTCATTGCACCTCGTACAACGAAATTAAAAACCATCTTCAGTGTACAATTTATGACCATGAAATTTATGACCATGAAAATAAACACAAACACGCATCTTTCGCATTCTATACATTGAATTGAAAACCCCTGATATTGCATTAATATTGCCCTATACAGTAGAATTCATTAGAGTTACTGCCCTGGGATAGAATAGAATAGATAGAATAGAATAGAATAGAATTCTTTATTGGCCAAGTGTGATTGGACACACAAGAATTTGTCTTGGTGCAAATGCTCTCAGTGTACCTAAAAGAAAAGATACATTCGTCAAGAGTCAAGAATCATCAGGTCCAACACTTAATAGTCACAGGGTACAATAAGCAATCAAATCATATCAGGAAACAGTCAATATAGATGGTAAGGACACAAGCGACAAAGTTACAGTCATACAGTCCCAAGTGGGAGGGGATGGGCGATAAGGAGTGATGAGAAGATTAATAGTTGTGCAGACTTTGTAAATAGTTGGACAGTGTTGAGGGAATTATTTGTTTAGCAGAGGGATGGCGTTCGGGAGAAAACTGTCCTTGTGTCTAGTTGTTCTGGTGTGCAGTGCTCTATAGCGTCGTTTTGAGGGAAGGAGTTGCAACAGTTTATGTCCAGGATGTGAGGGGTCTGTAAATATTTTCACAGCCCTCTTTTTGACTCGTGCAGTATGCAGGTCCTCGATGGAAGGCAGCTTGGTAGCAATTGTTTTTTCTGCAGTCCTAATTACTCTCTGGAGTTTGTGTCGGTCTTGTTGGGTTGCAGAACCAAACTGAAGCTGTTGTTCAGCCCATTTGTCCTTGTTTTTATGTGGTAATAGTTAAAAAAAAAAAGACGGTGCCCAGGATGAGATGGATCTTTGAGAATATTTTGAACTTTTCTCCCAAAAAGTTGCTTTGTAGTATTGAAAAAAATCTAAGCCTCACCGTCCTCTTTCCTCCCTGCCCTTCAGGATGGAGTTTTTTGACGGCTGCAGAGCAATAAACGCGGACAGCATCGAGGGGATTTGCGCCCGGTTCCCCAGCCTCTTGAACGAAGCGAAGCAAGAAGACAAATTCAAGGACCTCTACCGCTTCACTTTCCAATTCGGCTTGGATTCGGACGAAGGCCAGAGGTCGCTCCACCGGGAGATAGCCATCGCTCTCTGGAAGCTGGTTTTCACGCAGAACCAGCCTCCCATTTTGGACCAGTGGTTGCACTTCTTGACCGAGAACCCTTCGGGCATCAAGGGCATCTCCCGAGATACCTGGAACATGTTCCTTAATTTTACTCAGGTCATCGGTCCGGACCTCAGCAATTACAGCGAAGACGAGGCCTGGCCCAGCCTCTTTGACACTTTCGTGGAGTGGGAAACGGAGCGACGGAGGAAGGGGGAGGAAGAGGGGGGTCCCACCCACTTGCAGGATGTACAGACAACATCCCGGTGTACAGACCCTCACGCGGCCTGAGAGTTTCCACAGGGGCGATTCCCCACCCCACCCCCCCGCCGCCCCTTTCATGGCCCGTCAGCTCAAAACCCCTCTGGAATTTACAGACTTCTCCAGATTTTTCTACTTTACACCTTTCTCTGCCTTGTATTTTGAAAGGGCTTTAAAATGCTGTATCCATATTTTAGGCACTTTCTTAAAAAAAAAAAAAAGAGAGAATTGGATTATTCCCGTTTCTCCTCTCCTCGAAATGTTTCATTCTCCCCTTCCCGTCCCTCTGGTTGCGAGTTAAATGATTTCTTGTTTTTAAATTTCAAAATGGTTTTCAGGCTGGTATTCTTCTTTGCCCCAGGTTACACAACTTTCAAA